CATATAGGAAAGACAGAGGCCATCCTCTTTGGGTTAAGAATTAAATTGAATAATTCACCTAATTTTAGAGTAAAGATTGGTCAGGTACCAATCTCTTCAAAATCCTCAGTGAGTTACTTTGGATGTGTTTTAGACCATATTTTATCAGGGGAAGATATGGCATTAGGCTCTTAAGATTACCAACAAAACCAAATTCCTGGCAAGAAAAGCAGAATTTTTGGATATATCAAATTTAAAAACTCTAGCTGGAGCATTGGTGTTATACCACTTTGATTATGCTGCCACCTTCTGGTACAGTAGCTCTTCACAGTCTATTAAATCCAAATTTCAGACTGCTCAAAACAAATTAATAAGAGTTGTTTTAAAGTTGCCCCTCTGCACACATCTTGATGCATTTAAAAAATCAAATCCTCTCCCTGTGGATAAAAGGGTGTTGCAAATTAAGATGGTAATCTCCCATAAGATTGTCTATACATCTGCACCTTCCTACCTATTCAACTATTTTAATTTAGTAAAAAAAACAACCACTCCCACAACACTAGAGGCAGTCTAACCAATTTTATTCTCTCTATGAGATTTATGGGAATTATGGGGAAAACACTTTTTTATAAACAGCCACTAGTCAATGGAACAAGCTGCCTGTCTCACTTAAGTCAAACTCAGCTGAGAGGAGTTTTAAATTAGATCTCAAGAAATGGTTGCTAAATAATTTGTAGATTCACAAATGTGGTTTTCATGTTTGATTTGTTTTTAGTCTGACATCATCAGTGTTTTTGTATTGGTTTTGCCAGTGTTTTAATGTCATTAATGTTTTTATTCATTGTTTTTTAGTGTTTGTAGTTGTTTTATTGTCTGCTGTATACACTCAAGTCTAATGTCACTCTTGCATGACAGTTTCCTTGGTCAATCTACCATCTTGGACTGAAATTGAGGACCACAATTGAAATAAGCCTTTGGCTTTCTTGTGTACTTAATCCTCGACAATTTTTTAAAGAAATCATATATGGAGTATGTCTTATTGATCAGTCTGTCATGTATATTTAATTTTTTGGTCAAATAAATCTATCTATCTATCTATCTATCTATCTAAGCCACCCTAGCCAGCTGCGATCAGTGCTGGCACAACTCTTGTCAAACAGACAGATTTAGAGGCCATTTACACGTACACAGTGATTTTGATAAACGGAGACATCTTCCTTCGTTTGTGCCCTTCGTTTACACGCAAACAGAGATTTCTCCTCTGAAAACGAGTCTTTCTAAAAACTCCGGCCAGAGTGGAGATTTTGGAAAACTCCGGTTGCGCGTTTGCATGTAAACTGAGATAAACGGAGATAAACGGAGTTATAGGCAGCCGACGTTACAGTATGCGCCGGAACTTGCGCCTGTGTCAAAAGTGCGACCTATGTTGCTATGGTGACAATGGATACATGGAAGGCTTGAGCTTCTCGTTACACTGCCACCTACAGGTTTGGCATGCTCTTGTGTATATATACATGGGTAAGTGTAAACGAAGATCTTTTTGAAGACGGAGACGGTGAAATGTCCGTTTATGAAAATAGCCGGCGACGTGTAAACGGCCTCACAGATGCAACACATTCTGCCAGAGGCAAGGACACGGCTGGAGAGGTGCCAGTTCACCTCCTGGGCACTGCCGAGGTGCCCTTGAGCAAGGCACCGAACGCCTCAACCGCTCGGGGCGCCTGACCAAGGCAGCCCCCTCACTCTGACATCTCTCCACGTTGTGCATGAATAGGTCCTGTTTGTGCATGTGTGTGTCTTTCAGACCTGTGGGTTAATGAGAAAAGAGTGAAAAAACTGAATTTCCCCTCAGGGGGATTAATAAAGTATATAAAAATTAAAAAAGGTAATGTTACAAAATTTGGCTCCATTACAACTCACAAGGTTTGATGTTATTTGACATTGTATAAATTAGCCTCTGCTCATATGAAGCGGGATAAATCCTGCAGTATAAATCCCCGAAAGGATAAATCACACACAAGACTTAAAATGCTATTTTGCGGGGGCTTTATTGTCTTCATAATTTATTGTTTCTTATCTGTGAAATTAAAGTAAATAAAAGCTTTGTTTCCACTGAGGGAAATGGTTTCAGCTTACAAAAATAGACAGGAGGTCTGCCTGGCCACGATTTGTGGTTACATTTCTGGGGAGGTGCAAGTGGCGTAGGCTGACCAAATGTCCTCTTTTGCCCGGACATATCCACTTTTCACCTCCTGTCCGGGGGTTTTTATTAACTGATGATAATGTCTGGTTATGCACGGGCAGCATATTTCTGTCCGAACCCGAACCGAGCCCGACATTATTTAATGACCAAAGCGCTGAGTTTGTGTCACACAGTTGTTACAGGCTATTTAACAGGCCGGGCGTGCGCCGTGGGTGCTCAGCTGCAGAGAGGGAGACCTCCGTGTTTGAGACGGGAGCGGGAGGCGCGAGGTCCGAGACTTCCAGAGAGGGGAGAGGGAGAAACAAACAGCCAATGTGTGTCTGTGTGTGTTATGTTCAGGTGTTGTCACGTAAATAACAGTGCCCACACAATAAACAGGACAGACAATAGGATTTTATTTATTTTTACACTACATTTTCACTGAAAGCTGACCGAATCCGACCCGAGCCCGAATACAATTTATAGCTACATTTTTGACCAAACCCGGCCCACCGTTGGGTACCGTCGGGCTCGGATTGGTAGCCACACACCAGAGATGGGACCAAGTCACACACGTGCAAGTCTCAAGTAAGTCTCAAGTCTTAACCTTCAAGTCTCAAGTAAGTCCCAAGTCATTTTTTCTTGGGCAAGTCAAGTCACAGGTTATGTCAAGTCAAGTCAAGTCAAGTCCTGTAACAGGTCAAGTCAAGTCCAAGTCAAGTCACCTTATTATTGTAATTTTACCTGCAGAATCTGATCTTAATAAAGTGAAAAGACAAGATAGTAACTGTCAGTAAACATTGACTTCATCGCTGCAATGTTTACTTTGCAGGGACGACCCCCATGCACGTGCATGCGCGCGCGCACACACACACACACACACACACACACACACACACACTAACCAAGGCAGCAGCCAAAATCACCCATTTAGCTCATTTAACCCTGTGTTGCTCGTTCATAAAACGTACAGCTGGTCTTGTGATGAAACGGTCAGAATGTTTGCTCACGTTTTCTGGGGTTAATGTTAGCAAATAAATTAAAAAACAAGTTCCACCAAACCGACCCACCCCCCCCACCCCACACCCATATCGTATCAAGCTAACGTTAGCTAACTACCGACTAACCAGATAATATTAGCTAATTGACAAGCACTTACTTGGCAGAATGGCTCTTCAAATGATGAACAAAGTTTGAAGTTGTCGCCTGGCTTTCCGAGATGTTTATGCCACATGTCTTGTACTGTGCTGTTCGTCTTTTGCCGTCATGGTTGTAATTCTGAAAGCCGAAGATGATAACTCTCGGTACGGCTCCCGCTGACATGTTGATGCCTATCTGATATAAGAGGGCCTGTTTCTCCAATAAACACGTAAGGTACGTAGAGAGGGCATGACTGATTGACAGGGTAGTGATCCAATCATTCTCAGCCTGTGCTCCTACCGGGTAATCGACATTATTTTTTAAATTAATTTATTAATTTTATATTCTAACCGAAAACATGATGTGAATAACACTCAAGTCATTCAAGTCATCATGTCTCAAGTCAAGTCAAGTCCCGAGTCTTTAACTTCCAAGTCCAAGTCAAGTCTCAAGTCTTTTATTTTTTGTCAAGTTAAGTCACAAGTCATCAAAACAGTGACTCGAGTCGACTCGAGTCCAAGTCACAATGACTCGAGTCCCCATCTCTGCCACACTCTAGTGTGTGTATATGTCCCCTATTGGGGCCTATCCGAATTTCTGTCTTTGAGAGATATTATTTTGTAATATAGGCTAACTGAATTTTCTATCCATACATATAAATTTTAAATATATTAAAATTATAAGGCATCTTTGAGTAAACTGCGAGTATCATTTAAGTAGGCTATGTTGTGGCCGGTCGAGTGTTCTCTTTTTTGGAAATCAAAACATGGTCACCCAAGTTTTAGATATTCAAGAATATTTTATTGATCGCCTGGCCTCCGATGACCAGAAAAACGGCAATTACAGGTCTCTGATTGAGGGTCAAAATTACCAGAGCTGGGTATCACCAGGTAAATTTTACATCACCTTTTAGACGACCGCCTTCAATATGATGTGATGGTCACGTAGCCTGTCCATAATGATTAAATGTCACGCTGCTAGCTTGCTAACGTCAGCACACGTAACGTATGCTCACGTTATATTACAGTGTTTAATGATACAGTCTGTTATCTCCCTATTACTCTAATCTTTCCTGCTTATCGCTCAAACAAATGATTAATTTCTATATTAATATCGGTACTCATTTAAGATACCTTCATCAGTTACCGGAGGCCACCACCTAACATCATCAATCCAGCTATTCATGATGCTGTCATTGTAGAGAGTCAGTTCACAATGACAGCATAACGAATTGATGACTGACAAATGTCACTGCAGCAATGGCGGCGCCGCAAGATGGCGGCATACACAAGTGGCTCGCCGAATTCGTCTATAAACCTCCTAAGAAAGCAATGCTACAAAGTGGAATCCTACCCTTAAATACCCTTAAATCTAACATACTGTACTCTTACTATTTCTTTCGCAATCTTTTTTCGAATTTTATTGTGAAAAATAAATACAATGTAAGGAGAAAACAGAAAGATATATTACCCAAATCTATAGCTGTTTTAATTATTTTAATGTTAGAATTGTAGTGTGTTGGTCTGTCAGATGGTCCCTGAAGGCACCGCCGGGTTTGTTTTGGTCCTGCAGGGCTGTGTCTGAGCCAACCAATGAAGGAGGAGAAGGGGCTCGGAAGCGTCATGTGACCAGTGCCTCGCAGCCCAGCCCACCAGCCATGTAAATCGGCGCGTCCCTTACTTCTTATCCATTCCTTGCCAGTAAGCAGATCTTGATGCAGCTTGTCTCCGATACCTGACTTCACAACAAAGCTAGAGCGACACTTCACATCCTACCGACGAAAAATAAAGAACAGAAAAAAACAAACTACATTACTCTGTCCTTTGAATAATCACAGAGAGAAAAGAAATCTGTAGCCGAATAACCGCAATATATCCCCCTGCGACACTATTCAGAATACCAGCTCGCTCACCGGGGTGTTCAGCTCAGAATATTTATATTTATTTTTTGAAAAACCAAAATGAAAACCAAATTTATCAATGGGGTTTCTTCTTCCCCCTCCATGTCGCTGGGTCTGCTTGTGAACGAGAACGCCCTGCAGGTTCAGCCCGACACCGAGGAGGACTGTAAGGAGCTGGCCCGACTTGACCAACCCGACCTGGACACCCGGCGTAAGGCTTATCTGTGGTGCAGAGAGTTCCTCCATGGAGCCTGGAAGAGCCTGGCTGAGGACGATTTCCACATCACTATCATAAGGTACATAGTGTTCACTTGCTTGTTTGATGGATATAGGCCTAGTTGGAAGAAGCTAGTGTGATAAGGCTGATGTAGCCTAAACCGTTTAAGGGTAAACCCGCCCCAAATATTCATAACAAAAAGGTTATGTCTATAGTATTGTACTCGCTGTGAATCAGAGGCAGTCTCCCCTGAAACAAAGAGTGTAGTGATGATGATATTTTCAGACAAATTCCGGAGCTGGCAGCAAACACAGTGGTCACAGAATATCAGCTGTTTCATTTTATATATCAGAATAATTTACAAGAGCCTTCAGAGTAAGACCAAAATTCAGTGTCAGGAGACATTTGATTTAAGGACTGGGTGTGACTTTTTTGTGTTATCATTATTATTATTATTATTATTATTATTATTATTATCATTATTATTTTGATCCTCCCTGGAGCTACAAGTATTATTCCTTGAGCCTCCCCAAGTGAAAATGTATGACCCTCCCTCCACCATAAATTAGTTATTAGATTGGTAAAATGTACCCTCTAATTAAAGCTGAAGACAAAATTCTGAAGTTTAAAAAAGTCTCGGTTTTTCAGTCTTGTTGTGCATGCCGTTTAGTATTGGCTAAATTTTAAATGAGACATAGAGTAAAGTGACTTTGATGAAATATCCCTATTTTGAGGTCATGGTTATGGTTTTTGCTCTAACGGAAGCATTCATTACACATAATGTGTCCAAGGACCTTCAGAAAATTTGAATATCCAATGATAATTTATGTTTGTACAGTTTCATTTTTTTTTAGAAAACAATGCAGCATGTTTTCTTTAAAAAAAAAAACAGTGCTAAATGAATATATAATGTAACCATTTATCTTTGTATGCCACTCCCCAGTGCTTAAAAAACTATTTGACATGCCTTCTTATTTTTGCACCAGCCCTCTGCCCTCATAAGTAACGATTGAATGATAAATCTTTTAACTCTATTGTCAGAATAAATTTGGACATCAGCTGTTTCACATAAATACACATAAATGCAAAAATTCACAACAACATTTTACCAAAGGACATAACCACCATACAGACGCTACAAATCACATCACACATTATGAAAAGTAGGTGCAATGCAACAAATGAATCATTCCTGTTTCATTCAGTGTTTGATCCAGGTACACTGACCATAACCAAGTGGCTGGTAGCCATACTCAGATTTAATAGGTTGACAGGTTGAAGAACTAAAGAGTTCCTCAGCATGTTCAGTCTTACCTGTGGAACTCTAGAGCTCATGTTCTTTAAAAAATGTGGTGTTTATATCTGTTCTAAGCTGGACTTCCCATTATAAATGGTATTGGGGACAATGGGAGGCCAGTAATGGTAGCAAATTTGATCTCATTTGCCCCCAGCTGCTGTTTTAGTTGTTAACATAACTGGTTGATTTTTAAATTAAAATCTTTTCGGCTTGTTTTCTAAAAACTGCTGTTTTCATTCTTATGAAATTCTGTGCTGTACCAGTGAAACAGCACAACATGTCGCTACCAAGACTATGACCATGATTTATGTAAGAGATTATAAGCATTAGTTGAGCTAGTTAAGGTGAGGCTGTAGTTCTACATTTGATAAAGGAAGTTCTATTGTATCCTGTTGTACTATTGTACTTTATTGTAAAGCATGTAATAAAGAGGGATGTGAGAGTTACAGTAAGATTCCCAGAAACCTTTCTGAAGCAATATCTGTGTGTAATGATGACCATATTCATGGGCTGTCTGACCATCTGTCATCCAGGGGTGGTCTGAGCAACAAGCTCTTCCTGTGCAGCCTCCCTGACAGCGTGGACACTGTAGGAGACGAGCCCAGGAGCGTCCTGCTGCGCCTCTATGGGGCCATCCTGCAGGTGGGAGCCACATCTCTTATCACACAGCTGAACGCTGTTGTTTTACTATGTTTTACAGACAGAGTCTTTCCATGTGTTGTTGTACCATAGACACTAGTTTCCCTCAGTAGAGTGTAGTTATTAGTCTAACTGTTTAGTTTAGCTGTTTTTAATGAAGATACATTCTGCTATACAGCACACACAAATTCAAATCATACACTGATTGCGTTTTAACTACCTGTCAGAAAGTTTGACTTGTATATTTTTATCACAGAGATGACTCATGTAACTGGGGTCAAGGGATAGCCAACAGCTTGGGCTGATAATGACAGAAACCAGACAGTAAACAAACAAGACAATACCTACAACTGTGCTATGTGACAGTGCCACCACCAGAGGTTGTTGTGTGTGTATGTGACTGCAGGTCACATGCTTATGTTAGTGTATGCATGCATGTGCAGTTATGCCTTCACGTGTGTATGTGTGTGTGTATGTACGTGTGTGTGTGCGTGTTAGCCATTGTTGTACATGGTGATGTACCCCCATGGCTGTACATGCATGTGTTCTTTGCCGTAGGCTTCCCAAAGGAGCGTGCCTTGGGCACTCTTGTTCCCAGGTGAACCCACCAAAAAACACGGTACAGTATGAGATCTCTGAAATCTCAGCCTAATGCTAAAACGTAACACACACTCATGTAACCCTGGCGGACAAAGCTGGGAAGATAGTCTGCAGTATGGAGAGAAAAAACAAAGTGCTGAAACACCTCTCCTGTCTGTCTCTTTCCTTCTCTAAATCTCTGCCTTGTGATTCTCAATCACCAAGAAGTCAGCTGAACTTGTGCATGAGCATAAAACAGAGAAGCCTGAGGAGGAATGGACACATTTGCAGCTGGCTCAGCTAAAAAAGAAAAACAACAACAAGAAAAGTCATTAGCCAGTGTACGCATTGGCTTGTTGTCGCTTCACAATTTGCACAAAAGCAGATAGATAGTGTATCTTTTTGCAGCTCCACAGTGGTTGCATTTAACACAGAGAGATAGAGTCTACAGTGATGTGGCTGCTGCGTCCAAAGTTCATGACATTAATATTGCTAAGTGTACAGAACTACTCCAAAGATAACTATTTAGTCACCATCACCCGTTGTGGTGCATTGATTTTATTTTCAAATATTGAGTAACAAGTGTTCAAGGACTTTAGATCATTTGCACAAGATTCTTGATGACAGCATATTCTAATCTCCTGCAGGTGTTTCATCGTCTGAGGTGATGTTCTTAGCACATGCTGTTTGTTCCAACCCACTGCAATAATTAAAAGACAGAGTCCGAAAAAAGACAGTGATATGGGCTGCTTTCTTGCTGCTTTCTCAGCCTTAAAACTTTCCAATGATACCTGCATTAAGTATTAACTAAAAGTCTGTGTAATAAAAGCTAAGCGTAGCTTTTATTGCTATGGATGTCTGAGAGAGCAGAAGCACCGTGTCCTTCACCAAGGTAACTGCAGCCATCTCCATCAGGACATAACCGCCTCTCAGGAATTAGTGATGTCTAATCAAAAAGCTAATATGATTAAGGAACTTTATGTCATCGTCAGAGTGCACAGCAACTAATGATTAAACAAACCCAAACTGCACTGGAGACAGTGTTTCTCAGCACTGAAGATATGTGGATAGCATGTTGGATGATGAGTAGATTCATCAAATAAATATGCATATTTTTAGCTCCAGCTTTATGTAATCCACTGTAAAATGTCACATTCATTAGCAGGGTTAAAGTCAGTTAATAGAATATTGTTTTATTAGTCCTCTTTTTATGAGTCCTGCTTTCTCTACTTTATCTTATCTCTATCTCCGCTCTCTTTCTGGCTGTTGGGACAAGCAGTTAGTCCGACCAATCCTCTGCTCCGTCATATCCAAAACACTTGGTGTGTGTTTGAACTCATACTGTACTGTCTGCACTGCGGGCATGGTTTAGGGGTTTGATGTTGACGCTCATGGACAGATTCACATGTATTCATGGATAGTTCTTTCCTTTTTCTTTTGTTGATAGATGTCCTGTAATAAAGGGGATTCCCGACAGTCAAACACAGAAAATCACTTGCAAGTAAGTAACTGATGACGGTGCCACCATACAGTATGTTCCGCTACCCAGAGTGTCCATCAAGTCACCACAACTCTCACCATCTCATCTTCCCCCCTCCGTGTCTGAAAATATTCTTTTGCTTCCCTAAATTCTCCTCTGACTCATGTTGAACTCTGTGATCTCCCACAGGGTGGCTCTAACAGAGAGGGCTGAACCTTTGTAACCCTGTGGGGGTTTTGAACTTAAGTTCAGAATCGATTTAACGCCTGTCTCCACTAACACCTGGCAGAGCATGACTTGGGAAATACTACAGCCACTGATTTCATTCTGTGGAGGCAGTTTACACATTAAAGAAACCTGATTAAAATACTCTTATTTTGAGCAAAATTGATTGGGCTCACCTGGCTTGAATTTAACAGAATTTAACTGAGAATATCCTATTTGGAACACAAGACAGTAGAAGCAACTAATATCACAGAAGGTTTTTAAAATAATCTGCAGCAACCTTAATCCAGTATGTTCAGAGAGTCGCTGCTGGTAGCCTGAAGCGATGCCAAGCCTCATGCCCAGTGACCTAGAAATCCCTTTACAACGCATCACGTCACGACGACCTTTCACCCTCACATGACATGGCTGAATCACAAGTCCCTGTCATGTGATGGAGGTGAGGTCATCAGTCAGTCAGCTATTGTCACCACTCAGGCATCCTTCCCTCAAGAATGCTGCTCATCCTCAGCAGTTAGCAGACAGGCTAATGCAGAATTGACCCCGTGTCAGTGTGTTTGGATAACCTTGCCTCGATCCACCTACTTTAACAGTGCCATCTGATCAAGGTAAATCCTATTTGGATTAGATAGGATGACACTGTATTGTATACCCTGTTGGGATACTTCGCACGTCACCGCAGCATATTAGCATTTCAGATAAACTGTAGATATAAATAAAGAACCTTGTGCACAAATGACAGTAACCACTGGATTTACTTATCACTAGAGATATGTGCATATACAGATAAATTACATCATTGTTCTTTGAGTTCACTTGTGCAGATAGATAAATGGAACAAATATGTCACACTGGTTCTGTACAGTTCAGAAGGATCTGAGCAACCTGTACTTAATAATCTCTCCCCTTACAGGTTTATTGACACACATACAGTAACAGAGCAGATAAGTCTTATGGTTAAAGCGGCAGGTGTCGGCTGCACACAGTGCACCTGCTGCATCACTCCAAGGCCAGCCACTGAATATCTCAGATCCAAAGAGCAACACTGATATGGGACCAGTGTAACAAGTCAGATGAGTCATTCCATGAGAATGGTACAAATTGGACTTTGACATTTTCACATTTTTTTTACCAAAGTGTATTACTTTTATGAACACCCTACAACATTAAGGACATATTTAACTACCAGAAAAACATATTTTCACATCTCAGGCATCAAATCCCTATCATTATTGGTCCTTATTTCATGATATGGGCACTGTTATTCTTCAACCCCGTTATGTACACTATGGAAGCTGTCTGAAAAGGATTATGAAATCTATTTCTAATGAAGTAAACATGTTCATATTAATCAGATATCCCTTACACTAATTCAATAATTTCAAATACAAAAATGACATAAAATCTCACATTTGTGCTAAAATGCTTTTAACTAAAGAATTTTAACCAAAATCAGTAATCTTCTGATATCTCTAAACATTCCAGACAGAAATCAACAAACATTAAATAACTTATAAACTCTTAAAAAATAATGTATAAAAAAGTAGGGTAACAGGGTTGAAAATGGTAACGGGGTTGAAGGGACAAATACAGCTTAACATATAAATAGTTGTTTTTTAAATTTCAGATTCACTGTGTGATTTTCTATAAACATTGTATTTCATTGTGTAACCATAAGAAGGACAATAGATATACATTGCCATTGAACTGACAATTAATTAATTAATTAATTAATTAACCCAAATGAAAAACAATGACAACTACAACACATTATACATTAAAACATTGCTGTTATACATTAAAAGTGAATAGCTCATCAAAACATAACGTAACGTGTGCTTTTGGGATGTCTGTCTGTGTGTCTGTGTGTCTGTGTGTCTGATAAAATTTACTTGATGTATTTTACAATTTATTAAAGGAGACATTTCAATCTATATATAAAGCTGTTGAAAATAGATTTTGGTGACCCAATAGATAAAATACACTTAAAAAGGTCAGAGAGGCTCAAATTGTACCATTTTCATGGAATGACTCAGATTCAAATGTGATCAAATATCCAGAAAGAACATGGGAACATGTTGCTCAGAATGGGACCTCTTTGCCATTCAAAAAATATATTCATCTTTACTAGAGGAGGTCTCTGTTTCCTGTCCTAAAGCAGGAAATAGTGAGGGAGGTGCCTTTAAGGAATGTTGAAATCCTTCTGTGTGTGAACAGTGAGCTGGCCTGACATCTATGACTTGTTGATGATTAACTTTTGAGCGGTTAGAGGACTTGTCATGGAGAGTGAGCCAAATCAAACAGACTGCTTAAATATACACTGGCATTTAAAATAGGTCAGAGGAAATGAAAAAGAGCTTGATGAAGGACTGTGGTGCTGTCAGACAGTCGATGCGGGACCACCAAGGTCACTAGGTTACAGCCTCTTAACAGCAAGGGATGAATGGTCTGGCTACCTCACTGACATTTGAATCAAGAATATGACATTAAAGGCCATTCAGCTTTTTACTGTGAGTGCTGGGGTCATACACTATTCTCTGAGTTCTATTTTTTCTGTGCTCTTTTCACTAGTTTGAGTGTAGCTCAAACTAGTGAAAAGAAAAAAAGATGATGTCACATACTCATGAATTGAACAATATTTGAATTAGGAGCCAATTACAGTTAGTGGGTTGTTGGTGTGGTTTGATCAATTCTGATCAAACAAAACCCAACCAGGTCTTGAGTGTTAAAAGTGATAAATAATCCCTTAACAAATATTCAGAGCCAGGTCGCAGGGGCAACAGGCTGAGCAAGGTACTCCAAACGTCCCTTTAATCAGCAGTGTTCTCCAGCTCCTCCTGGAGGATTCCATGGCGTTCACAGTCCAGATGACATATATAATCCATCCAGGGTGTTTTGGGTCTGCCCTTTGGCCATCTACCAATTGGACCTCTAACGAGAGGCACCCAAGAGGCATCCTGATCATATGCCTGAACGACCTCAAACCCCCCTTTCGACAGGAAGGAGCAGGGTATCTTGCTCTTCACCCCATCTCTAAGGCTGAGCCCAGCCACCCTCTGGAGGAAGCTCATTTTGGCTGCTTGGATCCACAATAACAGTCTTTCAGTCTCTACCCAAAGCTCATAGGTAAGGGTTAGAACGTAGATGGACCAGTAAGTTTGGAGCTTTGCCTTCTGGTTCAGCTCTCTCTCACCATGACAGTCTGGCACAAAGTCCACATCACTACTGACACTGCACCAAACCACCTGTCCATCTCAGGCTTTATTTTACCCTCACTCGCGACCAATACCCTGAGATGTATGAATTCCCTCGCTTGGGGCAGTAACTCTCTCACAACCCAGAGTGAGCAATACATTGTTTTCTGGCAGAGAACCATGGCCTCAGACTTGGAGATACTGACTTGTTCATGCTCGGCTTAAAAATCTGTCCATGAATGTCACAAACATTATTAGTGACAAAGGACAATTCTGGTGGAGGCCAACACCCACTGAAAATACAGCTTGTACTTTGGTTTTAAGGATGGCTTGTAGCAACGACCCCAGTACCCTATACACCTACAGTATCCCCCACAGGACCTCCGGGGGGACACGGTCGTAAGCCTTCTCCAAGTCCACAAAATGTGTAGACTGGATGGGCAAACTCCCATGGCCCCTCCAGCAGCCCTGCAAGGGTAAAGAGCTGGTCCACTGTTCCATGGCCAGGATGTAGTTTGCATTGCTCCTCCTGAATCTGAGGTTTGACAGCTGGTCAAAGACTCCTTTCCAGCACCCTGTAAAAAACTTTCTCAAAAAGGCAGAACAGTGTGATACCCTGATGACTGGAGCATACCTTCTGGTCACCTTTTTAAAAAATGGGAACCACCACACTGGGCTGACACTCTACAAACAGTACCTGACCTCCACGTTACACTGTCAGCCAAAACTGTCCAACAATATCCACAGCATTCAGCATCTCAGGGTGACTCTCATCCATACCTGACGCCTTGCCACAGAGGAGCTTTTTGACTACCTCAGTGTCCTTTGCCACAGATATGGGTGAGGCTTCCCCAGATTCTTCAAACTCTGCCTCCTCTGTAGAGGAAATGATGGAGTTCCTCAAAGTGTTCTTTCCACTGGGCAATATGCCCTCTCCAGGTAGCAGTTCTCCTTCCCTGAGACAAGCCCTGCTTTTCTTTCCTGAGAGGTCTAAGGGTCTTCCAGAACTTTTTTGAGGCTAACCAAAAGTCCCTCTCCATAGCCTCCTCAATCTCTTCCCTTACACAGGTTTTTGCTTAGGCTTTTACCGCAGCTCTTCTGGCCAACAGGTACCCATCTGCTATTTCAGGAGACACCTGGGCCAACCAAGCCCGAAATGCCTCCTTTACTGCTAGTGTCCACCAGTGGGTCCTTAGGTTGCCACCAAGACAGGCACTGCTGACCTTCCGAACACAACTTTTAGCAGCCACCTCCACAATGGAGACTTTGAATGTGGCCCACTTGGATTCCATGTCACCAGCCTCCCCGGAATGCAGGAAAAATTCTTTCAGAGGTCTGAGGTCAGGACCTCGTGGACAGGGGCTTCAGTCAGACATTTCCACTTTGCCCTCACTATAGGTTTGGGCCTGTCTTTCAGCCTCCTTCATCATCTGATCCAACTCACCGACAGTTGGTGATCAGTTGACAGCTCTGCTCCTCTCTACACAAGAGTGTCCAAAACACACGGCCACAGATCTGTTGACGATACGACCACTAAGTCAATTAGCAATCTTTGGCCTAGGGTGTTCGGGTACTAAATACACTTATGAACCACCCTGTGCT